ACTTTATCAGAAAAGCACCCAGCATGAATTGCTCTAGAATTTCTAAAAGCTGTAAGGGCTTATATTTGTTTCTATAAAATCAAAACTTGAAGTTCTTAAAAAAAAATCAGTTCTTTTCTGTTTCCTTGCGTTTATTGCTTTTTTCCAACTGTCAGTTGGCTATGTTTGATTTAGCAATCGCAATCATAACTACTTTTTTGGGTTTTTTTTCGGATTTTGTCTTGGTACTTGCTTTTTCAAAAACAAAAAGATGAAATTAAGAAAAGTTTCATTTTCATATGCCAAAACATGAGCAAAGTATTATTATTTGCGCGAGAATAGTTATGTTCTTTCATCTATCTTGAAAAAAAACTCGTTCAATAAATTGAAAAATAAGCGCTTGTCAAATAACCGCTAGGCAGTACATGAACGGTGTCATTTTGTATGTACGCTACAAAAGTTTTGCAATTCTGCTACGAATATTGATCAAAACCATACAAGGTAAAGATATCACATTGAGGCTCTGAAAGTTTCAGGATCATCTATGAATAACTGTTTTAGTGAATAACTGTTTCATAGATTTTTTAAAATCAAATTTTTGGCTAAAGGGTATAATGCATGGTATATATTTCAAAAGCAATCGTGGCTACTGAATTCCGTTTTTTTTGCTATTCTTGGCACTTGATATTTCAAACAAACATAAATTACCGCTAATTTTTCATTTATTTGCCAAAGTATGAGCCAACTGCAAAAAGCGCAAGAAGAAATATCCAAAGTTTGGCAAGTATGATAGCTTCTCGCAAAAATTGCATTAAAATAACTGTCGTTTCAAAAACGCAATTGGTTTCACAATAAAAACAACCGAAAGTCGGTGCATCAAAAAAGCGGCTGCATTTCCGTAATGAAAAAATTGAAAATATTCAACTGATGATTCAAGAAGTAAAATTTATCAAATCAAGGCCCTTTGAATTGCACGCATATCTTATGATACTTTTTAATTTTTTTTTCAATCTCAATTTGAATTTCTTGACTATATCCTTTTGATCAAAGCGCTTTCCTTGCTGTTTGGTTTTTACAACTGTTATTGCACGCAGTGAAAAATCGGATTGTCTTGAATGCCTATTGTGCCGAATTTTTTATGGAGCCATAGTGATTCAGCTTTTTGGCAGGATTGAACAATGCCTGGTTTTGTTTTTCAGTTGTTTCATAAAGCAATCGTGGCTACTACATTTTTCGCCATTTTTTGGCATTTGATTTTTCAAATACAAAAAGACAGTTTCACCACTAATTTCACATTCACATTCACATGCCACTGGAATTAAAAGCGCGAGAATAGTTATCCAAAGTTAGATGAGTATGATGGCTTCTAATGGTATGATAGCTTCTAATCGTTTCATAAAGCAATCGTGGCTACTAATTTTTGTTGCTAGTGTTTTTGACACTGATTTCTCACATTAGAAAAAACTTACAACTAATTTTTCATTTATATGCCAAAGTATAAGCAAACTGGAAATAAAAGCGCGGGAATAGTTATCCAAAATTAAATAAGTCGCCATTAATTTTTTTCCCATATTTACACACTGAAACAAAATATACCATTTATAGAACTGAAAGGCAATTTATCAAAAAACCGGAAGTGGAATCATCAAATTTGTTATGTTGCATTTCTGTAGTTACATAATTAATGTTTCAAAGAGTAATACATATCACATTGAGGCCCTTTGAATTGCACGAATCTGTGATTAATTGTTTTAGTGTAAAAGCAAGAAGTGATTTGTTTGAATTTTTGGGTCATAGACACTTGATCAAAGCGCTTTCTTCGCAGTTTGGTTTTTAGAACTGCTGTTTCAGTCAAAACTCTGAATGCCTTAAATTTATATTTTACCGAAGTTTTAATTGAGCCATAGTGATGCAGCTTTTTGGCTGGATGATATAATGAAGTGTTTGTTTTTTTCTATTGTTTCTCAAAGCAGTCGTGACTACTAACTTTTGTTTTTTTTTGTCATTCTTTTTGGCACTTGTTTGTCAAATACAAAGAAAAATGTTACCACTTATTTCTCATTGATATGCCAAAACATGAGCAGATTTGAACTAAAAGCGCGAGTTTATTTATCCAAATTTGGATAAGCATGATGGTTTCTAACAAATATCACATTAAGCAAAACGGTCAAATCAAAAAATTAAAGAGTATATGTTGCGTCAAAGTTGCGAGAATATATGTTGGAACATCAATGTTGTTTTGTTGCGTTTCTGAAAAGAAAATTCTGGAAAGACATAGCTAATGTTTCAAAGAGTAAAATACATCACATCGAGGCTCTTTGAATTGCACGAGTCTCTTATGATTCAATTTTTAGTGTGAAAAGACGAACTGATCAATTCAAATTTTTGGAGAGCTATCATTTCGATGTTCAATTTTTTATAGACTGATGTGATTCAGTTTTTTGGCTGATTGAGGCCCTCCAAATTGCTCGAATTTTTCATGATTCATTTTTTAGTTTAAAAGAAAAAGTATTTTGTTCAAACTTTTGGGTTATATGCGCTTGATTGAAGCGCTTTCAGTGCAGTTTGCTTTTTAAAAATAGTATTGGACGCAGTGAAAATTCTGAATGTCCTTCAATTATTTAGCAAATATTGAAATTAGCCAACCGTTTTGAAATGTTGAGTTTCATATTTGACATCAAAGCAAATTGTTTTCTATTTTTTTAGCGTAAAGAACGAAGTGAGTTGATTTTTCGCGGGTAACTTGTGAGGTTTGAGGCAGGTCGGATGAATATTATTTAAATTTTACAAATTGCTCACGGTAAAATTCAATTTTCCTGGTTTAACTTTGGATTTTTTTTTTGTTAAAAGGTTGACAAACTCTACAATCGAGCATCGAAACTAGTAAATTTTGACCAACATAAAATTTCGCTCGTTTCATGCTTCAAAATTAACACTATTAATAGCTTATGAAAAGATGGAAGAAATTGCGATGACACAAAAAATCTCAAAAGCGTGGCGCAGTCAAAACTCAAAATCTTTCAGTGCCTCTACCCTTGCAATAAACAAGGGTATTGACGTCGGGTACGAAACTTTGTTTCCTGTAAATAGAATGTTCGAAAATAGAAATGGTAAATTTAAATTCAGTTTATAACGAAATCAAATTTCAAATCTCTCCGGCACTTTTAGTCTGGAGGTAACAAATACGCCTGGGATGGCAAAGTTACGGGGCATGAATCTGACCGCCCCATTTGTTTTTTTTTAAACGGGAAGTATTGTTTCAAAAAAACTGTGGGGTTATTATTCATCTGCCTTTGTTTTTTGTTTCTGATGCCGCTTTGTATAATTGGTTTTTTTTAGCTGCACGCAATTTTCATTTTAGTTGCTTTCATTGTAGTTTTCATTTAATTCTGCTGTTTGTAATTTTAGTTTTCTTGGCTTCGTAAGTTTTCTTCTTTTTTCACTTAAAAAATTTATCTGTCCGAATGATTTCTGCTTAGTTTGCTTGTGTTCTTCTGGTTTTTTCTACACGCTAAAACTTTTTGCGAGAAAAGAAAAGTTCTTGAAGTTAAAACGAAAATTGCAATAGAATTTCAAATTTTCAGCGAATGAAAGGTTTCTGATTTTGTTTTTTATCTGAAAATTTTTGCAATTAGTTGGAATTTTATTTTTTGGTGTGTTTTAAGACTGAGCGATTTCACTTGATTTTGATTCGAGTTGATGGCATTGCGTATTGTTTTCGTATTGTTATCAAAAAAAATTTCAAAAAAACATTAAAAATTTTGTTTTTTTGGCAATTTTCAATTGAGCATTTTGTCTACGAAGATATGCGGCATTTTGGCACCAAGCTCAGGAGTGCGTTTTTTCTGGCTTGAGTTTTTGAAAAAAAAAATTATTTTTTTTGCGGGCATTTTTGTCTTTTATTTTTATTTTTGTCTCCTTTTGTTTGTTTGTTAACTTTGCGCATTTTTTGCATAATTCATACGTTTGATGTAATAAGGTTACTTTTTAAGTTTTCAGAATTTTGTTTGATTTTTTGCAAGATCGTTTTTGTGGAATTTGTTGAAACTTTAGCTTTCATTATTTAGTATGGTTAATTTTTAAAAATTTTTTTTATTTTTATATTAGGTAGAGCAAATTATTCTGTTAGTGTGTATTGTTTTTGTTGCATATGTAAGTTTTAACCAAATTTTTGAGTACAATTAGGAACTTTTGGATTTCGATTTCTTACCAACATTTTTCTGGGTGTTTCCATGTATTGGTTATGAGAAAGAAAAGTATGACATTTCTGAAGCCCTAATCCTTTTGATGTTGTTAGTAATTGAATTTTATAACAATTGCAATAAAACTCTGTTTGATTTTCCTGTCTACAATTTTTTTCAACAGAATTCATTTAATTTTTTAAGTTTTTGTTGAGACATTATTGAGACAACTACTTGATTCAATTACTTAATCAGACACAAAGTGCATAAAAAACTTTTTTTTTCTATCATTTTTAAAAATCAAAACAGGTGTTTTGATAGAAATTTACCTGGATCTTTTGGCTGATTAAACTGGTTCATATTAAAGTATTTTTTTTTCTGAGAAATAATGCTAAAATAAAATAAGTCAGCATATCAACGCCCTTTCCGCTGTGATTCGTTTCTGAAAATTTTTTCAATTTTTCTCAGCTTAGAAAAACACTGGTCTGAGCTGTTTGCTATTCAGATTAAAATTATTAGATTTTTCGAATTAACCGTACTCTTCATTTCAACAAGGAACAAAACTTTTCAATTATTTTTTTGCTGTGATAGGCGTGGCCAGAACATTTTATGCTACTTGCACAGCAACCGGTACTCTTGCTGTAATTAGGTTTTTCAGGGAGGCCCGGAGGATAAAACTTTTTGTTCTCGTTAAGCTTTATGAGCATTCTTTACTAATGCGTTTACCAATTTCTTTTTGGGAAAATTTCATTTCATTCTCATTAATTTAGCTTTTCCTGTCAATTGGTGAGAGATCTCAGGCTGGGAAATAAAATTTCAATTGAACAATTATAGGGAAATTTTTAATAAGTGTGCATTACCTTTATTGAATAGAGAGCTATTTGAGATTTTTTTCAAATACACTTTATCAAATTATAGAACTTTCAATCTAAAAAATGTTTTTTTACACATGAGGTGTGCGTAGCTTTGTGGGTTTCAGTTTGTGCAATTTGCGATTTTTTTGCATCTCTCTGTTAATTTTTCCGAATGAGAGAATTCGAATGAAGGTGTTTTTGAAGAGGGCGTTGGCAAATGCGTAGCAGAGAGGGTTCAGACCACTGTTGATGTAAGTCAGCAACCACGTGAACTGAAACAAGAATAGGAAATTCATTTTCAAAAAAGGAATCGAATAATAAAAAATACTGGATTAAAATATGTAATGAAGATCAGGAAAAAATGAGGAAACAATTGAAATCAGAAAAAAAAACAGAAAATATAATTATTATATATTAATATTTTTTTTCTGTTTTATCCTAGTTGTAGCGAATGGTGATAAATTGTGGGCAATTGAAGCACATTCACTCTCAAGAAAAGTTAGGACAGGTGTATTCGATTTCGATTCAAGTCAAAAACTTACAAGCTGATTGCGTTCAACAAAAATTGAGTACACCTTAAAAAATGGATCGAAAAGTTTATTTTCAAGATTATTCACGAAGTATAATTTGATTGTGAATTGCAGACTGAAAATCACAGTTTGGATTTTTGAATTTGCCGTGCTGATTTTCAACTTTTAAGCGTAAATCAAAAATCACGCAAAAATAGACTGGCCAATTTGATGAATGAAACAGTAATTGGATTTTTCTAATCTCCTCTAAATGTGCAAAAAGTTTTCAGAAATTGAGAAAAAATAGCGCTTTTAGTTTTCAGAAATATCGGATAGAAACAGTCTGACAAAAACGGGTAATTTTAAATCGAACAAAAAACAAAGAACTTGATTCTCACTTTTCAAATTGCTCTCAAATAAAGAGCACCTGCTAACAGGCTTGTAGCCTTATGGTGACCATTCGCGTCGGCGCTACCAAAATTGTACATGTATGATTAATAAGTTCTTAGATGTGTCGTTTTGTAAATCTATTTACGTTTTTTATATAGCGCCTTCAGTTTTCAAAAACATCTTAAATGTTGAACTTCTTAGTATAAAAACTGGCAAGCTTAAACTTGACGACAATCAACTTAGATGGAAGTATTAACAAAAATGGTCACAAATTTTGTACCAGAAAGCTAACGTTTTCGACGCAACCGTCACTGATAAAAACTTTAAAATAGCCATTTAAAAATTTTTTGACTTGAATGAAAAAAAGAAGCGCTTTATTTAAATTTTATTATTTATTTTGTTCCTGATTGCGTTCAACAAAAACTGAGTACACCTTAAAAAATGGATCGAAAAGTTTATTTTCAAGGTTATTTTGAAACTTTCTTAACAATTAGTTTTTTTTGCCCCTAAATAAGTGTCTCTCATATGCATTTGTTAATTCTTTAGAAATCGTTTACTGTATAAATTTCCGATTTCGAAAACTTGAAATTGCAAAAAATAATTTAACACTGATATTGATTTTATACTGCTGATTCAATAAACAAACTTCAGTGCGTAACATTTCTAGCGCAATTTGATCAAATAATTATATATCTTTTTAAAAATTAAAAATTCGTTTTTTGGAAAAATGAAAGGGCCGTGTTTAGAATGCATAGTTATTTGTAGACGAATGAGTAAAAATCAATAAAAGTAAAAACTCAGTAAGTTTGGGGTTGAAAATTCAATTATAGTTACCGACAATTCAACTAAGGTTTAGCTGCCTTTACTTCATTGCTGCTTTTTTGATAAATTATCAAGCAAGATCTACAAAAAAAGTCATAAGAAAGTCATTTAAATTTGAATATGAGCAATTTTTTTTCTTAAAAAATTGCTCTTACGCATCCGTGAACAACAATCAGTTGGTGATAGTTGTTTGCACTTAATCATAAGCTTCTCTGGGCTTTGTTTACAACTGAGGGTTTCCGCAATTTCCTCAGGCTGTTTATAGCCATTTGTAAGTTAGCCGACCTTGTGAATCAATACTGAATCATCGAAGAAACTGTATATGAAACATTTTTTTAATGAATTAGCGATAATTATCTAAATAGCTTTAACCCGGCTCGGAGGAGCAGTTAAACAGATCCTGTATCAGAAAAATATCCCTGGTTTGTTGAATTATTTTTGAAAATTTTTCAAACCGATAAAAGATAACTAAACAATAAAAGTTTATTTTTTTTACCGCTACCGTTTTCGTTTTTGTTCCGACTTGCGCTTCGAAACTAACGGAAGATTTGTGCTCGGGGTGGGTTTGCTTTATTAATATTTTTTTTCTGTTTTATCCTAGTTGTAGCGAATGGTGATAAATTGTGGGCAATTGAAGCACATTCACTCTCAAGAAAAGTTAGGACAGGTGTATTCGATTTCGATTCAAGTCAAAAACTTACAAGCTGATTGCGTTCAACAAAAATTGAGTACACCTTAAAAAATGGATCGAAAAGTTTATTTTCAAGATTATTCACGAAGTAAAATTTGATTGTGAATTGCAGACTGAAAATCACAGTTTGGAATTTTGAATTTGCCGTGCTGATTTTCAACTTTTAAGCGTAAATCAAAAATCACGCAAAAATAGACTGGCCAATTTGATGAATGAAACAGTAATTGGATTTTTCTAATCTCCTCTAAATGTGCAAAAAGTTTTCAGAAATTGAGAAAAAATAGCGCTTTTAGTTTTCAGAAATATCGGATAGAAACAGTCTGATAAAAACGGGTAATTTTAAATCGAACAAAAAACAAAAAACTTGGTTCTCACTTTTCAAATTGCTCTCAAATAAAGAGCACCTGCTAACAGGCTTGTAGCCTTATGGTGACCATTCGCGTCGGCGCTACCAAAATTGTACATGTATGATTAATAAGTTCTTAGATGTGTCGTTTTGTAAATCTATTTACGTTTTTTATATAGCGCCTTCAGTTTTCAAAAACATCTTAAATGTTGAACTTCTTAGTATAAAAACTGGCAAGCTTAAACTTGACGACAATCAACTTAGATGGAAGTATTAACAAAAATGGTCACAAATTTTGTACCAGAAAGCTAACGTTTTTGACGCAACCGTCACTGATAAAAACTTTAAAATAGCCATTTAAAAATTTTTTGACTTGAATGAAAAAAAGAAGCGCTTTATTTAAATTTTATTATTTATTTTGTTCCTGATTGCGTTCAACAAAAACTGAGTACACCTTAAAAAATGGATCGAAAAGTTTATTTTCAAGGTTATTTTGAAACTTTCTTAACAATTAGTTTTTTTTGCCCCTAAATAAGTGTCTCTCATATGCATTTGTTAATTCTTTAGAAATCGTTTACTGTATAAATTTCAGATTTCGAAAACTTGAAATTTCAAAAAATAATTTAACACTGATTTTGATTTTATACTGCTGATTCAATAAACAAACTTCAGTGCGTAACATTTCTAGCGCAATTTGATCAAATAATTATATATCTTTTTAAAAATTAAAAATTCGTTTTTTGGAAAAATGAAAGGGCCGTGTTTAGAATGCATAGTTATTTGTAGACGAATGAGTAAAAATCAATAAAAGTAAAAACTCAGTAAGTTTGGGGTTGAAAATTCAATTATAGTTACCGACAATTCAACTAAGGTTTAGCTGCCTTTACTTCATTGCTGCTTTTTTGATAAATTATCAAGCAAGATCTACAAAAAAAGTCATAAGAAAGTCATTTAAATTTGAATATGAGCAATTTTTTTTCTTAAAAAATTGCTCTTACGCATCCGTGAACAACAATCAGTTGGTGATAGTTGTTTGCACTTAATCATAAGCTTCTCTGGGCTTTGTTTACAACTGAGGGTTTCCGCAATTTCCTCAGGCTGTTTATAGCCATTTGTAAGTTAGCCGACCTTGTGAATCAATACTGAATCATCGAAGAAACTGTCTATGAAACATTTTTTTAATGAATTAGCGATAATTATCTAAATAGCTTTAACCCGGCTCGGAGGAGCAGTTAAACAGATCCTGTATCAGAAAAATATCCCTGGTTTGTTGAATTATTTTTGAAAATTTTTCAAACCGATAAAAGATAACTAAACAATAAAAGTTTATTTTTTTTACCGCTACCGTTTTCGTTTTTGTTCCGACTTGCGCTTCGAAAGTAACGGAAGATTTGTGCTCGGGGTGGGTTTGCTTTATTAATATTTTTTTTCTGTTTTATCCTAGTTGTAGCGAATGGTGATAAATTGTGGGCAATTGAAGCACATTCACTCTCAAGAAAAGTTAGGACAGGTGTATTCGATTTCGATTCAAGTCAAAAACTTACAAGCTGATTGCGTTCAACAAAAATTGAGTACACCTTAAAAAATGGATCGAAAAGTTTATTTTCAAGATTATTCACGAAGTAAAATTTGATTGTGAATTGCAGACTGAAAATCACAGTTTGGATTTTTGAATTTGCCGTGCTGATTTTCAACTTTTAAGCGTAAATCAAAAATCACGCAAAAATAGACTGGCCAATTTGATGAATGAAACAGTAATTGGATTTTTCTAATCTCCTCTAAATGTGCAAAAAGTTTTCAGAAATTGAGAAAAAATAGCGCGTTTAGTTTTCAGAAATATCGGATAGAAACAGTCTGATAAAAACGGGTAATTTTAAATCGAACAAAAAACAAAAAACTTGATTCTCACTTTTCAAATTGCTCTCAAATAAAGAGCACCTGCTAACAGGCTTGTAGCCTTATGGTGACCATTCGCGTCGGCGCTACCAAAATTGTACATGTATGATTAATAAGTTCTTAGATGTGTCGTTTTGTAAATCTATTTACGTTTTTTATATAGCGCCTTCAGTTTTCAAAAACATCTTAAATGTTGAACTTCTTAGTATAAAAACTGGCAAGCTTAAACTTGACGACAATCAACTTAGATGGAAGTATTAACAAAAATGGTCACAAATTTTGTACCAGAAAGCTAACGTTTTTGACGCAACCGTCACTGATAAAAACTTTAAAATAGCCATTTAAAAATTTTTTGACTTGAATGAAAAAAAGAAGCGCTTTATTTAAATTTTATTATTTATTTTGTTCCTGATTGCGTTCAACAAAAACTGAGTACACCTTAAAAAAAGGATCGAAAAGTTTATTTTCAAGGTTATTTTGAAACTTTCTTAACAATTAGTTTTTTTTGCCCCTAAATAAGTGTCTCTCATATGCATTTGTTAATTCTTTAGAAATCGTTTACTGTATAAATTTCAGATTTCGAAAACTTGAAATTTCAAAAAATAATTTAACACTGAT